TTTATTGTTGCTACTGATTATATATACACTTATATATTATAAATATCGAATAAAAAAATTACAAATCATTTTATACTAGGTAAAATAGTAACAATTGCAACAGGGTCATAATGACCCACTTCAACGTTAGTGTAGCTTTTTTCCGCCACAATGACGCCGGGTTAACGTGACATCATGACTGTCATATTTATAAAACGTGAAGGGACTTATTGTACACCGTAAGTAAATCTTTAGAATCCAACAACTGGGAGTAGAAAAAAATTTTGTACTGAGAAGTTTAAAATCGCGAATAAAACAGATTGAAAGTCTCTAAAAAGAGTGAAAATACCTATAATGAAGTTTCCTAATACAGATGATTAGAGTACTTATTACGTTACGTTTACGACACGATGACGCACAAGAACATTAAATTGAGATATTACAGCCAACAATACACGTCACCCTGCTACATCTATATCTATATATTGTATTTAATAACTTAGCGATTGAAACTGTCAAAGAATCTCATTTCTTCGTCTTTATAGATTATCTTTATATATTATAGGTGCACTGAAAGAGTTCGAGAATTATAAAAACATCAATATGTTTTGAAATCTTGTTATGAAATAAGCTAGAATATTATTTTAAAAGGACACAGTTGAAAGTTAAATTGAAAATATATTCAATATATTATAAGAGACCTAAAAGATTGGCCCACGTTGACTTTTAGCAAAACCCCGCCTATGGATAACTAACTAGATTATCTACTATACCCAGATTCACATTCGCATAAAGGCTCTCAACGTAATGATAAAACATAATAATATTTGAGTATGGCAACAAAGGCTTTTGACGTATTTTTACGGCCTGGCAACATTTTGGCAGAATAGGATAGGCTGAATATCTTAGTTTGATGGAAACCTAATAACATTTTCTACAACTTTTTTATATTTTATCATTAGCAAGCTTGTTTACATGTTTGATTTTTGTTGGCAAACGGTCATCATAGCCTAAATCTACCTGCGACACCAGACGCTGCAAGAGATCACGACTGATCATTATTGCAATATAAAATATATGTATTGCTAATGCTAATTAAATAGTATGACACGTTCATTTACGAATTAGGCAAAACAAACAATAAACATAAATATTTGTTTTGTTCTGGGCCTTTATCTTATCTGTGGCGGAAGACCGTTAGATGTAAACATTTCGTTACTTATTTATGTCGATAAGTAAACTTCTAAATAAAATAATTAATTAAAAATTAAAGGACATTTTTCTAATTACTTTGCGTACTTTCAACGACAGAGGGCGTTAATTTCAAACTAAGCTCATGGGAGAATTGATTACAGAATTTTCTCGAAATGTGCAGCTACTTCACGAGAATGGTCTTGTTTACTTAAAATATCCATTTATAGTATTTCTATCGATTGAAGTAATTTATCGAACGGTTAAATTGTTTGCTAAAACATAATTAGCCACCTATTTATCTCACAAGGTCATCGACGTACGAAGTACCTACGGCGTAAAAAATATTTACGATAAATTGTAAAATATGGTAAAACTATAATAAACAACCGTCATGGGGTTCCATAACCCTTGCCAATGTTAAAATTATTACATTAGAAATCGTAGGCTAGTAGAATAATAGGCTGAGCGACGTCGCATCGCCGCAATCGCGCACGTTGCTCATAAAGAGTCCCTCTGTGACTCGAAACTAGTAGAACTTTTCTTGGTATGTTTACGTGAGTAATTCGTAATTTTTAATTCATCAAAACATTTTTTAGTCGTATTTTTTTAGAACTGGTATATAAAAGCATGAAATATCTGGATGGAAATCCTTTATCATTTCTTTTTAAAAAAACGTTTTCTTGTCCATATTAAAAACGCGTCTCATATTCGATCTATTATAGCAGCTGTGTTTTTTATTATTGTGTATTCACGCCATATTTACGGTCACAAAAAATAACACATGTTTATCTACTGCGTCTTAATTTTTTAACCAACAAAAAAACAATGTTCAATGGTAGTAGGTACATTTTGTTATGAGGAGAAAGTCATTATAAAACCTTCTTTCAATGTAGCCTCTAATTAGCTTTTAAAAAAAACAACGTTCGAATTAAAATGGCCGACTGACACTGACGCCATATTTGGTTCAAAGCTTTCGCGGGTTTTTTATTGTTTTACTATACTTTCATACAATCATTTTATCTGTAAAATAGAGAATTTCGTATGACAGCCACCGATGTAAAAAAAAACAATTTATAAGTAATTAGGTTCTTTCTCTATTTTTATTTTAGAAAATAAAATCGTTAGGGAACACAAAATACGCATTGCGATAGTTCTAATCGTGCAAAACCGATTTATTTCGAGGTTGTCTGAAAACTTTCAAAGTTGAATGAAGATAGCTAGGTACCTATCTTATCCATCATTTAGAATTGGAAATTACTTATTTTCGTTAGCAATCAAGTGAATTTTAATTTAAAACCTTTTTTGGTAATTTAGATTTAATGACGGATATATTAAACTTGGACATTATTAATTTTCAAATAGTTCAATTACTGTTCTGTCATGATATATTTAAAACTGCGGTTTTATTACGATATCTCGTGTTCGATTTGCAGTTCCTGATAGTGATTCTGATTACCTATTAACTCAGTTTTTACATTCTGAAAGGTACAGCCGATAAGTTGGATCTCAATTTATATTTAGTAGGATTTTTTATTATTAACCGTATTTACATGGATGGAGTGACGAAAAACACGCAAGCAAATGAATTCAGTTTGAACTTTAAAAAAACAACCTTTACGTTACTATTATTTTCTTTATACCTTCACGAAACATGTGACCAATTAGTACGACTATCATATAAAATTACTTATTTATCAATGAAAATAATGCTTTTTACGTACTTAACACCTATTTATATTGACTTAATATGAACAGAGATACATAAGTTGTTGAACTCGAATATTATCGTTTGCACTGTGTTGTTACCTTGTCCAATATGTGATTACGATAAAATCGGACGCGTAACATTAGGTTCTTTACGCTTTTCTATAAATAAACATGGTGTCATGTTATTTTTGGGATTTAGCCACTGTTTTGTGATGGAGAATTATTTTTTTACTTGTTATAAAATACGTCAGTTAATATTGAAGATTTAAGTAGGTACCTACATATTGAATTAGTATTTAGTTTAATATTAACTAATAGATATTAATTAAGATAAAAACAGGTATAAAAATAATATTCAAGAATCATTCATCAAATCTGAGTATAATAAACAGAAGATAATTTTTTGCTATAGGTAAAATAGTTGTAACAAAAAAAAACAAACAAGGCATAGAATAAAGTCAAGACAAAATAGTAGAGGGACTAGAAAGCCCTATCCCCAGGGTAAACCTCTAATATGTATTTGAAAAAAAACTCTTATGAAAAGAATAGTAGAAAATAGAAACAAAACAAAGATAAAAAGAAAATTTTCACACAAAAAGTGTCTTGAAACTTGAAAAAAATATAACATAACTGAAAAGGTGTATATTTTGTTTATTGCTACATTGTTCATTTTTGGCAATGCAGAAATATCATCATAAAGTCGGTTAAAAAACAAAGTATGGAATGTTCTGGTACATGCTACCAACATGACAACATAAAAGTCTCTTCCAAAAGATCAAAGCAAAATCAGCTATAACCACATTGGTATAGTGTTCATTTTGTAAATATGTGTGGCATGGCTAAATAGACAAATTGCAATTGTTTTTATTTTAAGTTTAATGTAAAGGAGCATGTTATTATAATGTGTAGGTGAAACTTAATAAATATTTATGATATTAGTAAGTCATTTATAGAAAATGATGAATAATAAATTAATATTTAGTAGGTTTACATAGCTAACAAATATTTGTTATTTCGTTTAAGACTTTTAAATGCATATTGGGTATTATGGATAAAATTATCTTAACTGACAATATGTATATGTCACTTAAAAAGGTTTATGAGTTAATAACATGTAGGTATTTGGAATTTGAGTCAGGCAATAAGTAAATATGAGATGAATCATACACATTTCAGAGTTTGAATGAGGAGGGCTGGCTGAATTTGAACCTATATTAATTTTTCTTTAGTTACAAGAATTAAATTAATGGAACTTAATTCACACATAAGACTCAGGCCTAATGTAATGTGTATAATAAACTTCAACTTATATATCAACAAAATTATATTTTTAAAATGAAATTGCTTTTAAAAATAACAAAATTAAACTTACCTCATGGATCTTGTGCTAAAAATAATAAAATTATTTTGGTAAATTGATGACATACAGAGACCAACATTTGTAAATATTTACAGCTGTTTTAGCCCTATGTGAGGGAGTTATATTTAGATATTGTGCAAAACATGTCAGAATGTTCCAAAACAAAGTTGTTTCATGAATCATGTGTTTAAATACAACATCAATGATAATTGTAAGGAATAATTCTAATGCAAATAAAACCTGTTTACTGACAATGACCCAAACATAGCAACAACAGTAACAAAGGAACTGAGAGCCTGCAAGCATTTAATTACGCATAATAGACAGTATAATCCGTTGTGTGTGCCTAAGGCCATAAACACAGAGAAAAAAAAATGCGCAATCGAGACCATGGCCTACATAACGAATTACGAAATATCATCGACCAGCACACACGGAAGAATACTGTTAACGTAACGCACCTACCTAGCAGTTTATCAACGCGTTATATATAGATACGTAGGCCCACGGAGACGTGAAAAGAATGCACGCTCTTTACCCAGACAAATAGTCAAAGGTCTATATCAATAGGAACCTTCAAATAAAATGTTATTAATAACTTTTCATGGGTGTGCAACAAAGATATGTTATTAAAAACACACCCCATATTGATTTTATAAAGGGTCGTGACAATCAGCTGACGGCCCTACAGCTACATATTTACATGGTGGCCCTCGAACGCAATAGGTTCTTTGTAATGACGATAACAAAGAAAGGATACAGTTTGATGACATCGGTGTCCATGCGTCGTTTCCCAGCGCTCGGTGACGACATCTTCGTGATCTATTACTAATAAATCACAATATCGAACACGAACACTAGAACTAACTCACACTAGACGCAGCGAAACCAATTTTTCGTCCACCAGCAGCAGTCAGAAAAATAACATTGTAGAAAAACAATGGACACAAACCATAGACTAAAATTTCGAAGATGATGTGTAATGAAATCGATGTTGCCACTAGACAAATTCAGTAAAACTGAAGAAAACGGTAGATTTCCTACTTATGTGCAAGTGTCTTTACAATAGACAACGGCCGTTCCAGAAGATTATGCGTCAAAAATTAAAAAGCATGCAAATTTGTCTATGCGTCATCATCAGCGAAACTTCGCGTGTGTGATCGAGGAAGATTATTTATAATTCAGTTTTAATTATAGATTTCTTTTACTTATACATCCCAAACTTAGTTTGGACAGTGCGGTTGTGTATTGCGACGCTCCGTCGGCGCGCCACGAATGCGGAAACATGTGTTTTGATGTGAACATCAAATCATGATACATGACAACAAATTATAATTTATTAGAATTTACGTCGGTATTAATGTGTATAGGAGTGATAAAGGATTGTTGTGTGATCTTGTGGTAGTGGTGATTACTGCAGCGAATCCGTGTGGGGTTGGTGATAAGTGATAAGTAGGGTCATTTCCGGTGTGTTGTTCGTGATGTGGGCGCCCCGGTGAGGTATCCTGCTGTATAGTTCTGACGTCCTGGTACCACCATGGCGAACACAGGGATCGGGGTCTCTTTTGACCCTAATGACATGACCAGGTTAGTAATACATTTACGAAAGTAACCCTAAAAATAAGAATGTGCCTTGAACTATCATGTTTCTGTGAATTTCTCAACTGCAAGTTAAATTGAAGCAACTGGTATGTTAATTTTAAACCTGAATTAACTTACATTTTATATCCTGCACTATTAAGACAACTAAGCATTAGAAAGCATTACTAATTCATTGTTTATCCTTTTCTTAATAATTGCAAAAACATAATAAATTGTGAAACCACAGAATATTACATTTTATAACCCAGAACTAATTAGTCAGCTAAAGTCATTATTTATAATAAACAAACATGATTAATACAAGAACAATCAATAATTAATTTCTTAATAATTATTTCCTTTTAAATCTATTTAGACATTACAAGCTTAGGGTTTGTTCTATTATATTTATTTAAGTTGTTTTAATGATGGGTATAGTATGTAATATGTATCATTGTATGTTATTTATATGACCTATGTGCATTACTGTTACATTTGTGTAACTGCCAGACTCAGTCATTTAATATGTTGATATATTGTACTGAAAATCTCCAAGAGTAGACATATAACATTAAAAATATACAAAAGTAACAAAATAAAGGCCTGATGCATGCGACAATAATAGCGTACATAGCATTGGCAATTCATTGGCTTAATAATGGCTTAAAAATAGAATACAATTTGTGAATTATGGAAAAAGAAAACAACAACAAAAATCCACACCATACACACATTGAAATGAGAATTTAACAAGTTCAATTTAATTCAAAAAGTAGTCCCTAAACATTGGAAATAAGGTCTATAATGGAGTTAACGGAGAGCACTGAACAGTCACTGGTGACCACTTGGGGATTGTACAATTAATGATTACCTAATTATTCCTTCATAATAATTTTGTTCTGAAAACAATTACTAAAGGGCTGTGTTAAGTAATGAAATGATTCAAGTATGGTGGTAAGTAACAGATAATTTGATGTATTTTCCATTTAAAAATAATAAATATTATGTTAAGGTGGATGGATGATGATCTCAACTGCCATTTTGTCGCTAGATGGCGTAACATCCACAATTTGGAACATTTTCAATTTTTACGGCTAAGTTAGAAATCTTTAATAGATAACATTATTGTTCGCGACACCTAGGGCATTGACTTGATTTTTTCAGATAGTCATTGTGCTTGTTATCTGGTCTCATACAAAGATTACTACAAAATAAAGATTTTGCCGCTTGACTTTACTTTTTACACACACATGCAAAGTAAATAGTAGTAACTTTCGACACCACTAGATGTCGTTTTACTATAAAAATATTAATTTATATACTTGAAATTATGTCCCTATCTATTTCTTATTAGTATAATAATTGGTCTTAGTATACTTTTGTTTCTAGACTCGATATCTTTTCAACTTAGCAAATTATTCATATAAATTATTTTAGGTAATATAGGTACAGGTAGTAGTTAGTAGTAGTAGTAAGGTAGTAATATACCCTATACCTAATAAGTTGTTGATATGTGAATGAACCTAAATTGTAATGTGGAAATAGCGACTTTACTAAATAAATAAATGAAAGACTATTTATTCCATTGTAAAGCTTTTTATTGTACCTTACTATAAATTAATAAGATTTATTTAGTAAAATAGGGTTAATATTTTCATAAAAATAATCGTTTTATTTACTCTCACTACATTTACTTAGATAGTTTCCATTTGGATTCAAACTATGGAGTCATACCACCACACGAATATAACATAATATAATATCACGCCTTTTATCCCCGAAGGGGTAGGCAGAAGTGCACATTATGCCACTGTACAATGTAACACCCACTTTTCACTATTTATGTTATGAGTCCCATGTAATAGGGGGTGAGCCTATTGCCATATACCGGGCACAATTCCGGACTCCGTGCTACTACTGAGAATTTTTAAAAACCCAGTAATACTTTGCCTGACCCGGGATTCGAACCCGAGATCCCTTGCCCGGCGACTGCCGGCGTGCGACTGCACTTGCGACCACTCGGCAACGAGGCAGAATATAACATATTTTTTAAAATATTTAGTTACAATTATAATTTTGAATTTAGTATTAGAAAGAATGATGTATGTACATTACAATATAAATAACATCATACGTAAGATTGTAAGAATCTTACATAACAACACACAAGTGGTTGCTAGCTAACCATAACATTTATTTATTTTTCAAGAATACCTATTTATTATACAATTTTGAACTTCAATAAATATGAAATATGAAATAAATATAAAATGTTTTACAATTAAATTGTTAGGCTGGTACCTAAATTAACTACACAATAAAATCTTATGGACTAACAAAATAACAAACTATACATCGCTACGTGCAAAAATACCTTATTAATTATTCTATAATGTTCCCACTGCTGAGACTCAGGCCTCCTCTGAACTGTGGTGCTGAAATAATTTACACAAAGCAAAGTGTCGGCTTGGATTCGAACCATAGACTCGTACCACCATACAAAGATACTTAAAAATATTATAAAAAAATGTCTTCTTTTCTACGCGCTACTTTTTGCAGTCGCCGCCGCCGCCGCCGCCGCCGCCGCCGCGCCATATCAGTCTTCTGCTTGTCACTTTTTACTTCCATTTATGTAATTTCCGTACAATCTGAATCAAATGGTGGAAGACGTAGTTTTCGCTGCAACAAATGAATTTACAGTTTTGTTAGATTATTCTTACTAAAGCTACACCTCAGAGACCTGCAGAATAAGTTAGGAAATGAGTAAGACTTATATTTTTATACCTTTCAATTCCTTGATGTCTAGACATTTAGCATTTTTCTCAACTCTTCTCAAAATAATTTCCGGCAGTACACATGTTTTAAAAAATGTCACCAACTTAGGCATCATAGCACTGATAAATTCGTCATCCCGGTTAACTTCTATGACAGTCAATGGTTGGGTGACAGATATAAAGCAAATGAAGTAACATTTATTCATTTTGGTAATTCGCAATTGACCCTGGACCTAGAATTAAAATAATATTAGCTGTTAAAAAGAAACAATCCAAGAACTAAATTATTTTTATACATAAATACCAAGAAATATATGATATTTGATACTAACTTGATAATAATAATTATGCTTTTTGTTCATAACTAAAACATCATTTTCCAAATGAATAGGAAAATTTCTATTTTCTGATGCTTCTCGAATATTTTGAGATTTCCTTCCCAAGGAGGGAAAACATTTTATTTCTACTATAGTATTTTCTGCTTCTATAATACCTGTAAAAAAGAAAAGTTTTTAGTCCTACGCTACTGAACCACATTTATAAAATTCACGCGACACAGGCAAAAACTAGTTATTTGTATATTTTTATTATTGATGAATTTTACCATCAGGGCTAGCTGCTAAGAATCCAAATTCTTCATCAATGAAAAGTCCTGATGGCCTGACAGTTTTGCCATATTGTTGGATAAACATGCTCCTTGCAACATGTTCATTTTGTTGTCCATACATCATATCTTTAGTACAAATATTATTTTTGTAGAGAATGCATTTCACATGATTGTGACATGGTGTGGCATTACGACGTTTGCAAACCTAAAATGAACAAAGTGACAATCATTATTCTTGTGCTGGCTTGTGCTGTGGCTTCTTAGAAAGTAAGAAACAATAAAGGAGCGTTAAAGTATTACGTAACGCAATTTGAAGATTTTAGGCTCTCCCTCCTCCCATGCAACGCAGCGTAACGTTTTTCTGCACCCCCTTCCCCTCCCTAAACGTTACGTAACATTTAAGTGACCATTAAAGTCACAATTATGTTGAATAAAGTATAATTTAGAATTTGAAAGATCCTAATTCTCTAGCGTTTTTATTAAAATAAAAAAATGTTACGTAACGCGTTTATTAAATACTCCTCTCGCCCTTGTAATGCACCGTAAGGCGTAACGTTTGGCAAGACCCCCCCTCCCCCCAAATATAGTTACGCTTGAATGCTCCCTAAGAGGATGGCTGATAATATAGCTTACCATTCCAAACTGGCTTGCTGTGAGACGGTCAGATCTGTATAAGAGATACTTTTCATTATCATGTTGACCCACAGTCTGCTTTTCAATTAGTACTACTTTTTGTGTATCTTCTTGAAATTTAAGCAATCTCACTTCACAGAGCCGTTTTAATTCTAGCTCATTAATATCGACAGGGTCACTTGCTGCTGGGCCGTAGTCCTTATCAGGTTGAGTTTTATTTTTTTCAGTAAAAAGCCGTTTTCGAGTCATTTTCTGTTGGCGCAATCTACTTCTCTCTTTTTGATGGACATATTTTTTAAAATATTGTCCAGGGCTCTCTGTTGTCTTTTTTTTCCATGCAGTTTGATGCCATTTATGTCCTACAGAATGAGACAATCCTGAAAAGCCAAATCATAGTCACATACATGTCTGTTTGCAACCTAAGTTTTTATTAATGAAATTGAAAGTTCCGTATTAAGTAATCAAAAGTTGAGAAAAACTTCTTTATAAAGGAGAGAAGAAGACATAGATCATGTAGGTTGCTAGAGATATCATATAATTAATGTTTTAAAATATCTATGAAAAAACTCATTTACCTGCTACATGAACACGCCGCTGATAGGAGCCTCCTTTTCCAAGGCTGAGACGTTTTCCACAGTTAAATTTATTAATGACACTCATAAAATTTTCTGCAACATTTGTCGTTTCGTTAGACAACCGCCTGGCTTTCAAAGCGATTCTTTCATTTGCAGCATAAATAAGAGCCCAGACCTCTGGTGCTGTATTTCTTAGGATTTCTACTTGGTTGTCTTGCTGTTTATTCTCGTCAGGTGGTAATTGCTTCACTGAACAGTAATATTCCTTACATTTTTCATGCTGTCCAAATACATGAAGTGGACTATTCCTTAAATCATCAGCCATTGAACCTGACTCATTGCTGTTGTGAACAATAATCTTTCGCGCTACCAGTGTCAATTTCATCAATTTAGGCTTCAAAATATTTCGTCCATACAAAGGGAGCTTCGTATTACCTAAAATCTTTAAAAAAATATTAAAACATAGAAAGATAAAAAAACTTTTTGAAAATAATATCTGACTTCTAAAACAAATACAACAAAACTCTGCGATTCCATTATCAAATCCTTATTTGGTGAATGAGACCACTTCAGATGTATACTCTTTCAAATAAAAAAACAATTTTAAAAACCAGTGGGCAATTCGTGGAGTTTGGTGGACAAACATAAAAAATACAGTCGAATTAATAACCTCCTCCTTTTTGGAAGTCGGTTGAAATCCTACTGTAAGTGAAAAATTTATGAAATATGTACAGAAAAATGACTAAACGGATATGGATGAATATAACTACGAGATATTTTATAACTACGACATAGATTTACTATACATTTTAACACATGCAGAGCCGTAAGTAAAAGCTAGTGTAAAATCATTATTTATAACTCTAAGAAGTGGTTGTTTACCTTGTAAAGTGCACTCGTGTAGTTTTTTATAACATGATTCTTGCATTCAATTTTCTTTATTTGGTTTCCATAAGACACCTTTTCTTTCAAATTAGCAAACACTGAAGAATCGCCATCTCCTATAAAACTTAGGTACCGAAGATTATGCATATTCTCACTCTGTTGAAATCCTTCAACAATAATATCAGATTCCATTGCAGTAGATGGCCCAGTAAAGTTTTTGCAGCAGCCATGACTCTTAGCGTCTGTACCTGTTCGCTCATAATACTGGCATGTATAACAATATTTGTTCCTGACACCAAGATAAAGACATTTCTTGGTTTCCTTTCCAATAATGCAGGCCTAAAATTAAAGTTCTTAGTTCAAATATTGTAACACATTATAAATCAAAACACTGAACATTGAATATGTTGTAATTTGGTATTGTCAAACATAAATTTTATCACTACAAACATGCAAACGCGTAGTAATGTAATGAACTCAAAAATATGGTATCAAGTTGGAACTTACCATTCCAGATGACGAATCAAAGTTGTGACCATATGACCTTTTCAACCATCCACCATCTACATATACAGTAATGTATGGAATACCATCTGAAGAAACATTTCCTTTATCAATAGCAATAGACCTTTCTTGCTCACCAGCTTTCTTTATTTCTTCGGCCAAATGTTCATGCCATACATTGCCTAATTGTTTTTCTATTAAACGGAATGTTTGTCCGGTCATTGTTGGTATATCCATTAGACTTGTGATGTGTGCTGCCTGAGTGTAATAACTTCCAGCAGTCACAGTTGCCCATACAAATGCCGTGTTAATTTTCTGTTTCTTCTCTGTGCTTTGCTGCCATATTTTATTACACATACTACATTTAAATGTTAATAAACTGTGAAATCCTTTCCGTTGTTCACTAATATACTCTATTTGAGATGACTCACAAGACTGTCGGTGGTTTTCCATTTGAAATGCCCATTGGATCACATGTTTCAAATCAACAATACGGTACCCTTCCAAACCTGATAAGTTGTCACTTGATGTTCTTTCCACAGTTAGTTGATAAGCTTCAGTCTCTGAATCGGGTTGTGGCCAATCAAAATCCACAGTCTTTGCTTGCTCTGTAACAGATTCAACTGTATTGGAGCTAGAGCTGCAGGCTATGGCTTCGTATCGAATTTCTGGTATACCACGCGAATAGGTTTTGGGCGTATCGTCAGCTATCGAAAGGTTGGACAGCTGATGATCTTGAGTTGTATGTGAACTGAAATAAAAGATAAATAAATGAAATAGGTAGTTATTAAACACAATGTTGAGAGGCAGAAGAATATTGATAGATCTGTAGGTACCTAATTACAACAGAGCAGTCCACAGTTCTTTCCACTATCTTCTGTTTCTTGTTACGCCATGCTTCCACCCGGCTGCAATTTATTAAAACTTGCTCAATACATATTACTATTTGTAACTAACCTTATCGAGCATACAACCATAACGATCTTTTCATAGTAAAGGAAAAATGGCGGTAAACGAAGACTAGAACATGAACTAATGACTATCAAATAAACTCCACTCACGTAAATCTGATTAGAAATCTTATGGGAATCTGATTTACTCACTATAGATCACTAGAAGAACTTTCATGATGTCTTTTGAATGCGGCTTGCACCTTTTTCCGTGATTTTCGCGGCCCTGAATACTTATGTCGTATATACGCAAGTTTATTAGTCGGGTTCATCTTAGGCAGTTCAGTTGCAATTCAATCTGTAATCAAAAAGAATAATTAAAAACAACAGCAAATGTATCTTATTTAAAAAATGATTCAAGAAATTTTTTTTTTTTTTTTTTTTTTTTTTTTTCTTTGGCAACTGAGTCTCCAATACGATGTTGTCGACTATACTGCCAGTGTCGAGTGGTGACGGCAGTTAATGCACCGTCGAACTTTAACTTTCTGGTAGTTGTTAGTAACTGGAAGAGACAAAAACAATTGGGTTAGTAAACATATACCGTCAATAGACCTAAAATTATAATATTATTACCTAACACCAGATAAATAATTAAATAGAAACAATCATAACACACAATATTTACATGAATACACACCGTTATATTTTAATACAATTTTCTTTAATAAATTTGGACAAGCACTTAATTAATTTGGGAGAAAAATTTATTAGGAGGGAGTGGAAGTTGATTGGAAGCGGGATTTGGATTTTGGGAAGGTTTCCATATAAATCGAAGGATTGGGAATTTAGAGGGCAAGAGAAAAATATGTGGTCTAGGGTTCCCTCATCGAGACCGCATTCGCACAGCGAGCTGTCACGTACACGGATCTTGGCAAGGAATACCGGACTAGTACAGTGGCCGAGTCTGAGTCTGCACAAGGACGAAATAGTTTGTCTGGGAAGCTTCTTATACTTGGAAAACCAAGGTTTCCGCCGGATGTCGGGCTGGATACTTGCAAAGTAAGCTCCTTTATGCTTGGAGGAGTCCACCCACACTGCAGCCCACGAGTCGAAAAGCTTGAGTTTTGTATCCGCGCGTATGTCATACCCATACACAATGTAGTGGTGACGTTCAACATTATTCACGGCCGCAAACTTTGCCAATCTGTCAGCACACTCGTTACCGCATATACCAGAGTGGCCAGGGATCCAGGCGATCTCGATATTTAGTCCGTCGTTTTGGCAGGAGAAAAGTAAAGATTTTATCTGAATTATCAGACTACTATGAGTCCGGGAATAAAGCTGGTCTTGACCGAGCGCTTGTAAGCTACTTAGAGAGTCTGAGAAAATAACTGAGTTTCTGAGGTTGTGCGATTCAATAAATTTAATGGACTCCAGAATGCCGACACATTCCCCAGTGAAGACAGAGGCTTCAGGGGGACACTTGGAGAGCAGAGCAATTCTTGAGTTCTGGTAATATGTTGCCACTCCTGTGCATCCGTTTCGGGTCAATTTGGATGCGTCCGTGTAAAACACATTCCAGCCGTTCCAGTAATTGCTCAGCGCGCGTTCAAAATCACCTTTAGCGTCCACTGATGTCTTTGAAATGCCCAACCCCAGAACTAGCTTTGGCCTAAAGTGAATGACCTCGTATGCGGAAGAAAAAACCGGGAGAATAGGGAATTGACTGATAGGTGCAGAGAGGTTTTTAAGCTCCCTATACCTAGCAATCACAGGTGGGACAGGTTTATTATTCCAATATGGAGAGGAGTCATAAGAACTGTGGATTTGCTCAAGGATAGGAAGGAGGGGATGAGAAGAGCGGGTAAGGACTTTAGAAACGAAACGGTCTGCCAGGTATTGTCTTCGAAGGTCAAAGGGGGGTTCTGCACATTCAACCTGGAGAGCGTTTATGGGGGATGACTTCATAGCTCCAATAATTATTCTTAGGCATTTGGCCTGAATGGAATCTAGCTTTTTAAGTGCTTCCTTATTGCAAGGTGCCATAAGGAAGCAGCAATAGTCTATCACACTTCTGACCAACGCATTATATATGAGCTTTAATGTGTAGGGGTGAGCACCCCACCATACCCCAGCTAATGCTCTGAGTACACATACTGACCGTTCGCACCTTCTAACTACTGTTTCCACATGATCAACCCCCGACATCCTAGAATCGAGGATAACGCCCAGGAACCTAGCCTTCCTCCCAACTGGAATAGGTTGGCCGTCTATCTCTATAAGAGTGTCCGGAAGGCGCCGTCTGCGTGAAAAGATGACAGCTGAGCTTTTGGGGCGCTTAAAGATAACCCATGATTAAGAAGCCATTGGTATAATGAGGTCAAAGAGACATTCATGGAGGCGGTAGCGTCTGTTATAGAGCAGCTAGTGACCATTAATGCGATATCGTCAGCATACTGGAGGACTTTGCAATCATAATTTAGACAAGAAGGGAGGTCGTGGGTATAGATATTGTATAGGATGGGACTAAGGACTGACCCCTGAGGTAAACCCCTCCAGGCGGTTCTCTGTGTAGGGTCATCCTCAGGAGTTCTCAGTTGGAGGGTACGGTTGGAAAGGATGCAGCCTATAATTTGGCAAATCCTACTCGGGATTCTCAGCTCCTGCAATTTCTGCCTGAGAAGGGGTAGGAGGACAGAGTCATAGGCCGACGAGACGTCCAGAAAGACCGCCACCAACGACTCATTCCTGCTAAGGGCCAGTCGGATGGCTGACGTGAGGGTACCCACACTATCAGCCGTACCCAGACCTTTCCTGAAGCCGAACTGAGCCGCCGGGAACAGCCCCCGGCTTTCCATCGACCATTCCAACCGGGTCTTTATTAGGTGTTCAAGGATTTTGATAAGTATGGACGATAGGGCAATAGGTCTGTAAGACGAATGATCACCAGGATCCTTGCCAGCTTTTAACAGCGGCATGATAACCTGAACCTTCCAGATAGGAGGAATATAGCCGAAAGTAAAACAGAAATTGACTAAGTCAAGGTAGTACTGCTTGGTTTTGGCTCCTGCTTTAACCAAGAAGGAGTAAGGAAACCCATCAATGCCTGGTGCGGAATCCTTTACATGATTAAGGACCATTTGGAGCTCATCAATGGTGAAATTTTTATCGAGTGGGTCTCGTGAATCCTCATGTTGACCCGGACAACATTCATCCTCGCCAGGGACATATAGTGGAGCAATGTTGGTGAAGAAATTGTGGCTCAGACCTTCAGGCAAAATGGAAATTGAAGGAGGCTTCGAAGAATTTCTGAAGCTCTTCACTCTCCGCCACACTGCTGCCACCGGCGTGGACGGGCTTAGGGAACCACAGAATCTCTGCCACCCCTGTCTCTTCTTCTTTTTAAACAGTTTTCTTGACCTAGCCAATATCTGCTTGAAATTAAGGAGATTTTCCAGGCTCATGTCGTGGTTATATGCCTTTTCAGCCTCATTCCTGGCTCTTATCATGGCAGTACATTCACTATCCCACCAAGGAGGGGAAGGGATTTTGCCTTTTGGTGTGCTTTTCACTGGGAAGCAATCTTCAGCTGTGGAAGCTATCAACTCAGAAAACTTTGAAAAACACTCCAAAGCATTCTGGTTATCAATGGGTGGGAGAGAAGAAATGCGGAAGTCTAATAATTTTGAATACAGGTCCCAATCTGCTTTTTCTAATCGATATTTTAATAGAGGGGGGAGGGATTTATCAGGAGTGGATTTGGAAGGATTTTTGATTATGATGGGATAGTGATCGCTACCATAAGTCATATTCAAACAGCTCCAGTTCAGCATGCTTGCCATATTAGATGAGCAGAAGGTTAAGTCCACACAACTGCTTCTTTGTCCAAATGCAGATCTACGGGTCGGGCTGCCGTCATTAATATTACATAGGTTGAGCTCATCCATCATTTCAACGAACTTGCTGCCCATGTTGTCGCATAAATCCGAACCCCATCTATAATGATGACAGTTGAAGTCACCCATTACGAATAATGGACCACTTACTGACATTAATAAATTTTTAATTAAAGCCAAGTGAGTAACAAGAGGGTGCGCAATATAAAACATAAAAAAGTTTATATCCTCAGCCTTAACAGCGACAACATTTATGTCATCGCCGACGAAGGGTAAAGGAATCTGGGTGAAGGGTACTTTGTTGTTAACTAACAAAGCACAACCTCCATAACCATCAGATCTGTCCTGTCTGACAATGCTGAAGCACGGGATCCCGAAATTGATATTCGGTCGGAGCCATGTCTCAGCAAGTCCACAAATCGATGGTTTGAATTTATTAACTAAATGTATCAGGTCACTCTTCCTGGGAAGAGTACTCCTCACGTTCCACTGAAGAATTGTAAGTGGGTGGAATTTTATATATGTAGTCTAGGATAGTAGCTAATCTATGGGCGACGTGGTCAGGTACATTTTGATTAGGGTTAGATAACACTGCCATGAGCATGCTGGAAATTACATCTAAAATGTTAGAGCTACGAGTGTTGGTTCCGGATTCCACAGGGAAAGCGCAACCATTCTGGGATGGAGAAAAAGAGTAATCATGGATAAGGGCCTGATGGGCCTTCTTATCATAGCCGGGAGAAAGAGGAGCATGGGATTTGGGTTTGACAAAGACTGTTTTTTGTAAGACTGTCTTTGTGGGGATGATTTTTTGTTTGGTGTTGATTGAATGTAGTTGACAGACTTGGATTTAGAAACCTCGGCATAAGATTTTTTGACCGCAGGAAACACATGGCTTGCTTCCGCATAGGAAATCGCTTTTTCAGCCATTAAGGCCTTAATACTTTTCTGGCGTCCTAACTCAGGACAGGAGCTGTTATTGGCAAAATGATTGCCATTGCAATTTATGCAATGTGCAACTTCTTCCGTCACTAGGCAGCCATCGCCAGGATGATCCTGACCACATCTGAAGCAACGCGGTTTGGAGCGGCACAACGTGCGGGTGTGCCCAAAGCGACAACAGTTGTAACACTGTATTGTAGGGTATGTATACAATTCTACAGGGAGAGCAGAATAAAAACAAAAAACTTTCTTTGGTAAAATTTGCCCATCGAAAGTGAGAACCACAGTTTGGGTAGGCTTCCATTCCGTACCATTGTCTGATGAAACTCTACGGTTCATCCGTCTTGCTTTAATTGCAATCCCACACCCAGCGGGAACCCTAATGTTCCTAATAATTTCCTCCTCAGACCATTCAATGGGAACATCCCTCACAATGCCCATTCTAGTTATGTTGAACTGAGGGATTGAGGTAATATAATTTTGTGCTACCATGC